TCACTCCACTTTAATTGAATACACTGCCTTCCCTCCCTCCAATTTAATACACTGATCCTTCCCTCTCCAATTTAATACACTGCTCTCACCCCAATTTAACACCCCAATTGAATACACTGACCCTCTTCCTCTACCTTATGATTAGCTGCCCATCCTGCAGTTCCAGCTCTGCTCTTCTCTGCTCAAGCAAGCCAGACGCTCCTCCAGGAGGGAAGGGGTAATGGCTGGTCTTCTCTGCAGACAGACAGCCACTCTATACGCTGTAGCGCCGCCGTCGAATATGACTCTTAATGCTGTATGCGCATATCCGGTGGCCGGCGTGGACTAATGATTAGTGCTTTTGCGGCCGTTTGAGCAAGCGATCGGCCGTGGTTGGGCAGAGAGGAAAGATCATTCCAGTCTTGTGGCTTGTCACAGACAAAGCCAGAGGCGTACTAAGGGAGGGGCGGCGGGGGCGGTCCGCCCTGGGTACCACTTACTAGGGGGTGCCCGGGGCGCACTTTCACAGGGGCGGCATTTCGAAAGTATCCACGCTCGTTTCCCATCCAGCAGCAGCAGGTCCTCCGTTCTCACGATCCGCGAGAGCGTTGCAACCCGCAGCAATGCTCTCGCGGATCGCGTGAACTGAGGACCTGCTGCTGCTGATGGATGGGAAACGAGCGTGCAGAGTTCTGGGCCCCTCTTCACTGCCCATCTATGCTGTGCCACCGAACCACCAGGAAACGTCCCCTCCCTGGACACAGATAAAAGTGGAGAGGGAGGAGAGGGGGGGCAAACAGTACACAATACACACTGCTCACCTTCCCAGCACTTATTCCACACAACACACACTGCATCTGCATTCACTATACACACACTGCACTCACCAGGCCCGGACTGGCCATTCGGGCACACCGGGCAAATGCCCACTGTGTTCCATGAAGGGCCGGTGGGGAGATCAAAGCTCTCCCTCACCGACCCACATGCTGTCAAACGCGGCCGCCGGCGGGGAGAGAGGGAGGGAGACAGCCAGGAGAGGAACCTGGCGGAGCTCTAACTTGCAGCTCCGCCGAGTTTCTCTCGTGAGAGTGAACTCTAGCCCCACAGGCTAGAGTTCACTTACCACTAGGACCACTAGGGATGGATGTCAGATGGAAACATCAAAATTGGCCTCCCCCCAACACACAATCCTTACAAACACACACACCCATCACCCTAACACACACACACAGTACCCTAACACACACACACACACAACACACAGCAACCTAACAGCACCCTAACACACATACACAGTACCCTAACAGACAGCACCCTACACAGTACCCTACACACACAGCACCCTAACACACACACACACAGTACACCTAACACACAGCACCCTAACACACACACACACATACAGTACCCTAACAGACAGCACCCTAGCACACACACACACACACAGTACCCTAACAGACAGCACCCTAGCACCCTAACACACACAGCACCCTAACACACCCTAACACAGCACCCTAACACACACACAGCACCCTAACACACACAGCACCCTAACAGACATCGCACCCTAACAGACATCGCACCCTAACAGACATCGCACCCTCGCACAGCATCCTAACACACACAGCACCCACACGCACTGCACCCTCACACACACGCACTTCACCCTCACACACACGCACTGCACCCTCACACACACACTATACTCCTCACAAATGCACACTACACTCCTCACACATACATACTACACCCTTCACACACACACTGTACACCTCACACATACAGACCGCAGCCCCCAAACACGCTGCACCACTCACACACACACTCAATACTTCCAAACATATATGTATATATACTACAGAACCCCTAAACACATTAAATTCCAGACAAACACTAGATTCCTTACCAAACTCTGGATCATCTACAGATATACACACACTAGATCTCTATATACATTCTGAATCCTCTATACACACACACACACACACTCACTAGATCTCCTATATACACTCCTGAGTCCTTCAAACACACACTAGATCTCCTACAAACAGATGCTGCACCACCTACACACACACTACATTTTTGACATACACACTCTGGATCCCCTTCGCACACACTAGAAACAACTGACAAACATTGAGTCATAGGTATACTCTTCTGTCTGTGGAATCATATAGCAAAGAAACAAAGCAAGCCCTGCTATGTACTACTCACTTCACTAGCTGTGCCTTACATGGCTTTCTGGAGAGGGAAATGACACTGAAAGTGGCAATATTTGAACTTACCTGTGTGACAAACAATGAAAGACATAACAAATGATAAACATATGACACATTATTAATTACGCCTGTGCTCTTGCACAGTGATTTAATAAAAATAAATGTCATGGCAATCCCCCTGCAAAAGGTGTATTGTTATGATAATTAAACATCTCCTCAATATGGAATTGGCTTTTGTTTATATATAGACAGAAATGTCTTGCACAGCATCAAGCCAGATATAAATTAGATAGAAAGAGTGATCGAAAGGAACTGAATTAAATCAATTCTCCAAATGTACTGTGCAGCTTCTATGCATTTTCAAATGCCAGATGTGCCAGACACATTGTAGCTCTTAAAGGTTTAATTTTGTTAATACCCCCAGAACACCCTGCAGAATATGCAAATGTGAGCATTCTGGGACCACTGATCATGTGTCGGTAAGGGAACATTGCCAAGGGAACCTACAAACAGTCCAAATCGTATGCGGATGTGATACGCAATAAACCCCATCATGGGGCTTCTACTCCTAAAAGTAGGGTAGCCCCCAAAAGAAATTACCAGGATAACTCTATCCACATTCCCATTGCCCACCCTAGGGGTTTGTGGCCCACAAGGGAGGTTTATAACCATGTGGATGAATTTCAGACTCATAATACCACTCTTGTGTTGTGAGTTAAACCTAAGAATAACATATCCACTACTACAGGAGAAAGTTTTTTTTTAGAAGAGGGACCACTACAGGGTTCCAAACACTTACCCCTCTTTGCCAAACCGGGCCACAGAAAGAGGAACACACCCATAGAGTATCCAGAGGAAAGGGAGGCCGCTCCCAACAAAATGATGTGCCTTCACTAAAGGGGATATTTAACAACTCCTCATATACATTAAAGCCAGCTGAAATCTTACTCAACAGGTCTAAGTTTTGCACTCTCTCAGAATGTCATCATGCTCGATTTATTCAGGGATCTTAATCAATTGATCCGAAAACTAACCCTTATCAGATCATTCAACATTAGGAGGCCAATGGAGTGACAGATTGTCCCAATTTTATTTATAATCCTCAGGACAAGATTATTCTGAGAGGCCTCTTAACTTTGTTGAATGAACAAGATGAGGAGAGTACCTATATGGATGCCCTAGAGGTGATCAATGCTAATATCTCTATGGGTCTAAGACCTCCTTCAACATACTACCCGGTGGCAGACAAGGGTCACTTTATTTCCACCTTTTATGAATTGGTACTTAAAGATTTCAACTCTTAAGGGGCGGAAAAATCCAATAGTCAGCAACGCAATAGAAAACCGTATTGCCCATCTAGTAATCTTACCAAAGCGGAAATTATTGCCCTCAAAGAGTTAAGAAACAATAGGGAGATCATCATTAAGGGGGCGGGCATTGTGGTCCTCAATAGGTGTGACTATTTAAAGGAAGCCCACCACATTTTGGGGGAAATTAATTATTACAGAATCTTGACACGTGATCCCGCTGCTCTTTTCACTAAAGAGTTACGTACACTCGTAGAGGACGTATTATAGGGGAGTCCTGGAGAAAAAGGATATTTCTGCTTTCTAGTTCGGGAGATGTACCGATCTTCTGTTATCTCCCGAAAATACATAAATCCCTTGACAACCCTCCAGGACGCCCCATCATATCCTCTATTGGCTCTATAACGGCCCACCTGTCCAAGTGTGAAGACCATCGTTTACAAAGATTTGTGGTTAATCTTCCATCTTATATTCGGTATACAAGTCATGTTTTAACATTGTTACAAGATTTCAAATGGCACTATGAATAATACTGGGTGACAGTAGATGTCACTGCCCTGTATACTAACATTGACCATACAGTACAGAGTGAAAAAAACAAAAAAGAAATAAACAAAATACTGTTATGATGCATATATCAGTGAGACACAATACTGATTTACTTAAGATACATGTATCAACAAGTCTCAATATAATGGAATGTATCAATAAGTCTCAGAGTAATTAGATAAGTGTATCAAAAGATCAATCTACTGTGGCGGTGTGATAATCTGAAAAGTAAACTCTAATGTCCTAAAAATATAAGAGTAATGAAGTAGCAGCACACATCTGTGCTAATGGGAAGACATTAGTTAATGATAGCCATACTAGTAATAGTGGAGTAGATGGAGTGCAAAATAATTATTGGGGTAGCATGTAGTGCAAGCATATTATTGCTAGATACTGCCAAAAGTCGCACAGAATTATCTCTACTAGGAGCCAAAATGGCGGTGTAGAGACTATAGGTCTAGGTATATAGTTATGGCAAGTAAAATCAATCCTGCTAAATATGACAGTATAAGTTACGAGCGTATGAATATTTGTAGCTCGTAAAGACTGTCAATAGTTATCGGTGTATAGACTGCAGGTTCTAGCATGACGTTGTTGAATGTGTTACCTATCGGTATATAGTAATTGGCATATAAGTAATAGATTTTAATCTAAGCCAAATACTATAGAAGCTGCTGAAATGATCATTACGGCATTTGATGGTCTGTGCCATAATAATTAGCGATGCTGATGGTAAGCAGTCTACTGGCGTACTGAGATTCTAATAGTAAAAACTTAATTAGAAAATAGCGAGTACAGGCGATACTCAGCTGATAAGACCTGTAGCCTACACCAGAGAATATAATAGTGAAAGAGATAATAGCAAAAAAGATAATATGAGAAGTGACAGTCACCACCTCCCTCACTCTGTCACTAGTCAACCCTTCCCTCACTCTGTCACTAGTCACCCCCTCACTCTAGTGAGGGAGGGAAGTGGTGACTAGTGACAGAGTTAGGGAGGGAAGGGGTGACTAGTGACAGAGTGAGGAAGGGGGTGACTAGTGGCAGAGGGAGGTGGTGACTAGGGACAGAGTGAGGGAGGTTGTGACTAGTGATAGTCACCACCTCCCTCACTCTGTCCCTAGTCACCACCTCCCTCACTCTGTCACTGTGTCACCCACTCCCTCCCTCACTCTGTCACCAGTCACCACTTCCTTCCCTCACTCTGTCACCAGTCACCCCTTCCTTCACTCACTCTGCCACTAGTCAACCCTTCCCTCACTCTGTCACTAGTCACCCCCTCCCTCACTCTTTCACTAGAGTGAGGGGGTGACAGAGTGAGGGAAGGGGATGACTGGTGACAGAGTGAGGGAGGGGGTGACTGGTGACAGAAGGAGGGAGGGAATAGTGACAGAGGGAGGTGGTGACTAGTGACAGAGTGAGAGCGGTGGTGACAGTCACCACCTCCCTCACTCTGTCACTAGTCACCCCTTCCTTCCCTCACTCTGCCACTAGTCACCCCTTCCCTCACTCTGTCACTATTTACTCCCTCACTCTAGTGACAGAGTGAGGGAGGGTGTGACTAGTGACAGAGTTAGGGAGGGTGTGACTAGTGAGAGAGTTAGGGAGGGAAGGGGTGACTAGTGACAGAGTGAGGAAGGGGTGACTAGTGACAGAGTGAGGAAGGGGGTGACTAGTGACAGAGGGAGGGGTGACTAGGGACAGAGTGAGGGAGGTGGCTTATAACAGGCACATGGGGGTGTTGCTTTGGCTGATCTGCTGATGCAGCCAAATCTTATCTTAAGAAAGACAAAAGCCTGGTATAAAAAGGTGGCTATCCACATGATACAAGTAGCAACACATAATTCATTTTTACTCTTTCTCCAATTTCAGTTCAAGCTGATTTCCACAATAATTTATGGAGATGGTCAAGTTCCAACAACGGTGCCAGAGGAGTCCAGACATTTTATTTTTAAGATACCGCTAACTGCAAAAAAAAACAAATCCCCTGAAATGTTGCCGGGTCTGTTATAAAAAAGGGAAAAGGACAGACACCCCTTTGCACTGTTTTTTTTCTTTTGAAAGCAGCAAATTTTAGTTAACCAGTTTCCTTCCCCAAAATCTCCAGTTAGATTCTTTTTGCAGGAGTTAGTTTAGAGAATGCTGCTAAAGGTGCATTTGATACCTGCACATTTGGGTAAAAATGTTTTATGGCAGTAACATATAACTGGCTGTCCAAAACCAGATGACGTGTGCATAAAAAGCAGAATTCAAAAATTACCACCATGCACGTTCTCTGAAATTTGTTTAGCACAATGGTTGGAGGAAGGATGTGAAAACTCCCCATATTCAATACCCTGGAATGTCTACTTTATAAAAATATAAACTTTCATGATGTTAACATTAACTGGGGGATGCAAAAATATGCGAAACTGAAGATATGCCAAGCATACCTATATATGAAGTTGAAAAACTGATATGTACAAGTCTCAATTGTGGCTTTTTAGCCCCCAAACAACCCAGCAAACCTATGGGTGGTATCACTGTACTCAGGAGATGTTGCTGAACACATATTGGGGTGTTGTTTGGCAGTGATACATAACAGGATCTGTTAATTCATGTCTAAAATACAATGTGTGTGAAAAAAACACAAAAACAATTACTACCTAAAAGTTTGACAAAGTCTGGTAGTAGAATTAGTGCATGGCAAGTGTTAAAATACCACCATTTGAAATACCCTAGGGTGTCTACTTTCCAAAAATATATGGTTTGGTGGGGGTAAAATACATTGGCCGGCATTACAAATGTCCCAAATAGGACATGTGTGCAGGTTGACTACATGTCAAAATTCCAAGTTGGAAAATGGATATGCGCACCTGCCAAATGTGGCCTTTTAGCCTCCAAACAACTCGACAAGCCTATGCATGGGTGGTATCACTGTACTCGGGAGATGTTGCTGAACATATATTGGTGTGTTTTTTGGCAGCAACACATAACAGGATGTGTAAGTTTAAAAAACAAAACAAAAAAAACTACCTATGCAAAGTTTGGCAAAGACTGGTGGTAAAATGGCTGCATAGAAAGTGTCAAAATATCCTTAGATGAATACCCTGGGTTGTTTACTTTAAAAAAAAAATATATATATACATGTGGGGTGTTTTCCAGAGATTTATGACAAATAATAGTGTTACAATGTCACTATTGATAAATTTTAAAAATGTTTTGAAACCGCAATATCCTACTTGTACTTATAACCCTATAACTTGCAAAAAAAAAAGCAAAAAAGCATGTAAACGCTGAGTATTTTTAAACTCAGGACAAAATTTCGATCTATTTAGCAATTTTTTTCATTAGCTTTTGTAGAAGAGTAAAAGATTTTTCAAGTAAAAGTAAAAAAACATGTATTTTTTTTCATTTTTGCATCATATTTTCTTTATTTTTTTTCAATTAAATTACATGAGATTATATAAATAATGGTGTTTAAAGAAAGCCATTTTTGTCCTGAAAAAAACAATATAGAATGTCCCGAAGTGCACCACGTGACATGGATGCATCACGTGACACGTGCGCGTCATTTGACGTTTGCGTTCCACGGATGGAACGCATAAGCCGAAACCGGAAGCGGAAGTACAATTCAACCCACAGCCGGCAAAAAGCCGAAAAAGACCGCCAAGGGAAGGATATATAACAAGGACTACACCTGGAAACATAAATAGCAACTGAGGAAGCCTCTGATTAGAGGTGAAACGCGTTTTGCACCTTATATAAGGACTACACCTTCTGAATTGTAAGGTTTTTTATTTTGTTTTATGTATTTTATATCTTGTTGTGCATTTTTGCAATAAAGCACTTTAATTCATCAAACTTTGGGAGGACATCACATCTCTGAACACTACAAGCAGTAACAAGAAGGAAGTGGGTCCCTTTAGCACCCACAGAGCTTCTTCTCTTGAGCCTTTATATTGGCTCCATGTTTGTGAGTGTTCTACCTTCCACACATACTGCATACTGCATTACCTTATTGTGGACTGGCTATATTGCATTATTTCTTTGTATCTATGTTTATGTTCTAGAATATACTCCTACAAGGATCAATTTATTATTATTGTTATTGGAAGAACCCCTCTTCCATAAGGATCAGTTTACTACAACAACTCTTGGCGAATTTATTGTGTGCATATACTCCACCTTATACCGTATGAACCATAATTTGTATGGGAACAGTAAATGAGAGAGCGGAAAATTACAGCTAAACACAAACACCACAAAAGTGTAAAAAGAGGCCTGGTCGCTAATGTACAACATCGCAAAAACAGTCCGGTCCTTAAGGGGTTAAACATGATTAACACTTATGGTAACCTGTATCTCTTTTATATTATTATCCGTCATTCTTATTTCTTTCCTTTCTCTATTATTTATTACAGTTCATTCAGCCAGTTTATGCAGCCAGTGCTTCTTTCTAATAAGACCAACATCCATTGTTTGTTAATACTTATATGGATCTTTTTTGATATTTACTAATATTCTTTCATTGTATTTTTTATTTATACCCAGTTAACAATTAATCTGGTTACTAATGCATCTTGGAGTCTTTCCTATCCATATAGTTTATGATCTGTTTATTAATATTATTTATATTCCATACTGTTCTTTCAATATATGAATCCTCCGTTCAGTTTGCTACTCAAATGGTTTAAAACTTTCTCCAAAGTGTTGTACCTACTCTCTAGGATGTTATTAGGTTGATTAAATTCACTAATATGTTTTCATTGTTTTTTTATTTAGTTAACAATCGACATTATAATCTGGTTACTAATGTACCTCGCTATCCTGGAGTCTCTGCTATCTATATAAATTTATTTATCAATATTATTTATATTCCATACTATTTTCTCAATACATGAATCTTCCGTTCGGTTTGTTACCCAAAGGGTTAAAACATTTTTCTTTTAAGTGTTGTACCTACCCTCTATGACGTCATTAGTTTCCAGCCAATTGGAGTTACTTATGTGGACCAATGAACATCGACTCTTTCCTTTTTAAACCCGGTATTTTATTTTGACTGGTTCCCCTCTGATGAGCCAAGTCGGGCGAAACGCGCGCGTCAGGGGCTTCGTACATACTGTCTCCTTATCAGAGGATGTCAGTAACTCTACCTGTCCTTTTTTCTATTTAGGTTATATTATAGCATGGGAAGACATAGGTGCCCTTGAAGGCACGCGGGAGAGTTTATAGTGCTTAGTGTATTTAGTCATTTTTTCAGTACCCTCTATAGAACCATCTACTAAGACTACATTTGCTTGGAAACACTTAGGTGCTCACGGGGGTGAGCTGTTAGTGTGGAAATTATCATAATTAGCAATTTCTATCCTTCTCATATTATCTTTTTTGCTATTATCTCTTTCACTATTATATTCTCTGGTGTAGGCTACAGGTCTTATCAACTGAGTATAGCCTGTACCCGCTATTTTCTAATTAAGTTTTTACTATTAGAATCTCAGTACGCCAGTAGACCGCTTACCATCAGCATCGCTAATTATTACGGCACAGACCATCAAATGCCGTAATTATCATTTCAGCAGCTTCTATAGTATTTGGCTTAGATTAATATCTATCACTTATATGCCAATTACTACATACAGATAGGTATCACATTCAACAACGTCATGCTAGAGCCTGCAGTCTATACACCGATAACTATTGACAGTCTTTATGAGCTACAGATATTCATACGCTCGTAACTTATACTGTCATATTTAGCAGGATTGATTTTACTTGCCATAACTATATACCTAGACCTATAGTCTCTACACCACCATTTTGGCTCCTAGTAGAGATAATTCTGTGCAACTTTTGGCAGTATCTAGCAATAATATGCTTGCACTACATGCTACCCCGATAATTATTTTGCACTCCATCTACTCCACTATTACTAGTATGGCTATCATTAACTAATGTCTTCCCATTAGCACAGACGTGTGCTGCTACTTCATTACTCTTATATTTTTAGGACATTAGAGTTTTCAGATTATCACACTGCCACAGTAGATTGATCTTTTGTGTTAAGACCTGCAGTGGTTATGGTACTGCGGTCTTCTATTCCTTCCCCAATAGCTGAGCATAAGTGATTGTAACTGCAGTAGTAGGTAGAGGAATAGTGTAGATGAATGCAGCTTCCAAGATGATTCTCCCAAGCAAATAGAATATTCCCCAAACATGAGCCTAGACTTCATGAAGGGTGTAATAGAAATGAAGTTTATTGATGACACACTGGCTATTACGA